GAAATGCAATTCTGAAACAAGTTCTGATTGTAACCAATAGGCCCTACAAACACACATTGCCATGTGCACATACCATGTATAGTGAAAAGAACTACGAGATAAATCATAAAATGACTCAAGTAGCTTTTTGAAAAACAATGCATACTTACATAGAATAGTTGGATAAGTCCATTACGTAAAAAGGAATATAGTTTTACAATCCCACCAAGGGGGCAAAGATCTTTTGAACCAAAGTTTTGGCATTCATCAGGYRAAATCCATTGTAKCGTTGGGATGACAACTGAGTTTAGAATAAACAAGCTGCAACAGAGAGAAATTGAAAATTTTAAGTAAATTGGTTGCAACTGTGATTAACTTAACCAAGATACTTCATGTGCAATAAACTTTACATTCAACTGAATAATGACCAAAAGAATTAAAAATGTATACAAGTAATTGGATTTGTGCATAGGGTTCCAAAAGAAAACTGAATAGCATTCAGTAAAAGAAGAAAGGGAGTGTCATGCCACGGGCTAGGCTGGTCCGTGGGCCAGGTCGGGCTGTGGACCGGGCCAAAGCTATTTATTTAAAAAAATAAAAAAAAAACTTAAAATTATAATTTTATATGAATTTTGATGTATACAATTGCTTATATATACAACAATTAAATAAATTAGTATAATAAAATCGAAAACAATTGTTTATTTTATTAATATATGGACCATACCGGGCCGGGCCGTGGGCAGCATGACCCGCTCGGTCGTGCCATGCCGGCCCAGCCTGTGGACCTAAAACCCCAGGCCTGGCACGGCCATGGACCATCATGCCCGGCAGCAGGTGGCACAGCCCGATCTACACCTGTAAATGGGAGGATGAAAGTAGGACCATGCTAACATATAGAGCAAATAAAATTAGTAAATTTCTTAAACCATCACCAGTAAATTATTCAGCGAAGAGGAGAGGGCCATACCAGCAGATTTCCAGAAGAAGCAGACTGCAGAGCTTGCTGGAGCACATGCTGCTTTCTCTGGGCATCCACAAAGTTGGGTGCAACCGCTGCAGAGTTCTTATCCTTTGTAGTATGACCAGAAAATGTGCTAGCAACTTGGCCCTTGTCTGAAACCGAGTTCAAATTCCTACTTGGTAAGCTTCCCTGCAATGGGTTTCCAAGAATAGTGGTTTCTGTCGGGGGCACAACATTGAGATTGTATGGCTTGGCCCCATAAAAAGATGCAGAACCAGCAACTGCTTGCCAGAAAGGATTCATCCTTGTAAACTACTGATGACAGTAGATGCTCCGAGCAATGTGGCAATGAGTTGCGCACCTCTTTGGCCGCTGTTGAGAGAGAAACAAATGTGGTTCCTAATTTTTTATTTTTTTTACACCAGATCACCACAATATCATTAGAGAACTTATGTTACATCGCCCAAGTTGACACTACATAAAAAAAATGACACATACCTGGCTAGGCGTCGAAGATCCAGAACTCCCATCCATGGACACAACAACTTGAAGTGGTGGCATGTATCTACTTATGAAGATGGGGGTAATTTCTTAGCTATGAAATATTTATTGTTACGGTTACAATGATAAATAACCAAAACATCCAGGGAAATATAACGAGGTAATCGGATTCGCACCCAGGGAAATATAACGAGGTCATCGGCAACGGAAAAGAGGTGAATTGAGCTGAAACAGAGAAGAAAATAATGAAAACAAGCAAAGATAAGGAGAAAAAAGGAAGCCACTCAATGCGATAACGTGGGGTCAATAAAACAGACACCCTGCATTGCAAAAATTGGAACTTCAAGTAGGTTTACCAGGTTTCTCCGCCTTCAAATCATTTATTCCAGATTTTGATTGGGCTGGCGGCGGCGGAGGTGGCTGCTGCTGTTGAACTTGCTGCGGTTGTTGCTGTTTGGTGCCNGGCTGCTGCTGTTGAACTTGCTGCGGTTGTTGCTGTTTGGTGCCACCAATACTGCAACTTTCCCTATCAACCTTCTCTAAATCAAGCTACAGATCAAGAACCCTCTCCTTATTTCCAATAGGTTTCTGCCACAAAATCTGAAACATTTAGTGGACAACCTCCAGAGAGATTGAAAAAAAAAAAGCAAAAGATATGAACCAAAATAAAGAGGAGAGATTGAAAAAAAAAGCAAAAGATATGAACAAAATAAAGAGTAAAAAATTAGAAACTAACCATCTTCTTCCGAGCAGAAGCATTGGAAGATGACGAAGAGATCGGAGCCGGTGATGCTACTACAGCACTTGGTCTCGCCAGTGTCTCGCCGTTCTTGCATGTTAAAAAATATACCACATTTGCAGGCGGAAAGCTCTTCCGATCACCGCCATTGAGAGAGGGGGGGGAGAGAGAGAGAGGGAGAGAGAAAATCGTGAGAGAGAAGGCAAGGTCTGCCACTGTTACTGCTACTGCCAGAAGAAAGAGAAGGGAAAACCTAAAAAAACCCAAATAGGGAGAGAGGGGGAGGGAGAGAGAAAGTGCAAGAGAGGTGATGTGGGGAGAGCAAAAAGACAAAAAAAAGAAAGATGACGGAGACTGCTAGCATGGAGACTACAACACTTGGTCTCGCCGGTAATGTTGAAGCTTGCCGGTGAAACTGCTAGCATGTCCGATCACCACCATTGAGAGAGAGGTTACTTTGCATTTTCATTGACAGGCTCTCCTTTGGACGGCCATCGATCAGATCTACGCGAAGAGGAGACAGGCCCGAAGGAGCTCCCCCTTCGAACTTGGGAAGAAGCATCTCGAACGGCAGCGAAAATCGAAAGGCGAAGGGGCTCTCCCATCGAACTTGGGAAGAAGCATCTCGAAGAAATGGGAGAAGCATGCAATGGATACATGCGTGAAATATTTGCACGTGAGACCCTAATCTACTCGCACGAGTAGATTCCGTTTCCCGGAAGGAGAAACCACCTATTACAGATTTATATATGTATATATATATATATAGATGCGGGAAATGTATGTGCCTGTGAGAGTGTGAGGTCGGTGTGAGGTGTCAATTTGTCCCCAGAAATTCAGTGAAGCTTTTCATTTTCATAAGATTTAAATCGAATTTTTTACCAAAAAAAATCGAATTCATATAAAATCCGGTAGTCCAATAGCTCCGACGGGTTCTAATTCGAATCGAACTCGGGTGCCATCATGTCATATAACTCAAATTGAATCGAACTGGGATGGAGGTACACCCGATCCGAGTCCGACTGATTACAGCCCTGTGAAAAAGAGCCCTAAGGTAAGACACGCGGTTGCAGGTTTCGCTATCTACAAACGCTGAATGAGCTTCACTTTAGTCTTTTGGCCCTTTGGCTCTGGGTAAGATCACCAGAGATGCGAAGACTGTAGCTCGTTATTATCATAGAGAGCAACTTTCCCCTCGCAAATCCATGGCTCCCAAAAGCAAAGAGAAATCGAAACCCTCGCCTTCACCTCCTTCCCAGCCTCCTGCAGCCATCGAAGATCTCTTCACCTCGCTTAATCGGCATGTTCAGCGATCGGAGTTCGAACAGGCTGTCAAAGTTTCAGATCAAGGTTTTTTTATCGTCTCATCTCTTTCATTGTTTACATTTTTATTTAAATTCCCTCTTCCTTTTAAGTTGACTTTACAAATTTCCGTAGTCCTGGCAATCGCTCCCGGAGATGAGGATGCATTGCGTTGCAAAATTGTCGCTATGATCAAGGCAGAAAATATTGATGGCGCACTTGCAACAATTCAAGCTTCCGAGAAACTTCCGGTTGACGTCAACTTCTTTAAGGTATACCTGGGCGGTGATCGTTCTGCATTTGCCTTGCTGTTGCTCTATATTTAATTCGTGTATGCAGCACTTTTAGTTGTCGATCTGGTTTTGTAATACAAAAGAGGCCTCAATTCAGGAAATGATGTATTAAGATGACACACGAACTATCCTAAAATGCAACTTAAAACAGACTTAAAGTCAAAGTTCATATCGTCAAAATCTCTGAAAGCGTTTATGAGCTATGATTTTTCTTCTAGTTTTATTTCCAGTTACACATTGTCCACCTGAAGTATGTTATATCCATGACCTTTAATAAATTATATATTTTATTAAAGGTGTAATAGAGCAGCAATACTTTGGACCATCTGGGAGGAAAGAAACGATAGGATATTTGAAAGTAAAGAAAAATGCAAGGAAGCTTTAGGCGCTGTTTGGCGCGTCTTTTTGCATGGTCTTTCGGCTGTTTACAAGCCAGGAAGACTGAAAATCGGTCTATTCCTGTTTGGCATGCGGAAGATCTAGCCACCAAAAGACGCGGTGCCAAAAATACGCGAGAAGCCCATTTCGGGCTGATTTCGGTAAGCTTCAAATGAAGCTTCTCGCGTCTTTCACGTTTTAATCTCGCGCGGAAAGACCCGAAAAGACGCACGGAAAGATGCGCACTTGCCAAACGGTCTTCGGGCTGCCCAGATCTTATGTCAAAAGCTCAATGCGTCTATTGACTGTCAGAGCTACAAGAAGATCTTCTCAAAAAGACTTGCCAAACAGGCCCTTAGTTGAAACAATAACATTGAGGGTGGCTCATTGGGTAAAAAGTTTGAAGCTGTTTTCAGCCTTTAAGGTCGAAGATTTCTTCAGCGTTTGGGGACTTATTGCTGCTTCATCATCTATGAGACGACAGTTTGTTGAGACTTGGTCCCCTCCAACAGATGGTTGGAAGAAGCTAAACTTTGATGGGAGTTGTGTGGCTAACCCATGCCCTTCAGGTATTGGGGGGGGGCATTAGAGACGAAAATGGTTCCATCATTGCCCTGTACTCCGATCCTGTGGAGGTAGGTGATGTGACAAGGGCAGAGTTTCTAGCTGCAGCATATGGGGTTGGGAAGGCTAAAGAGTTGGGGATCAATAGACTGATCATTGAGGGAGATTCAAAAACTGTGATAAAATGGTTGCAGAAAGGGGAAGGGGTGACATGGCAGTTGAAGAATGATTTCAGAAGATTTAAATGGATGTCAAGGAACATGTCAATTCAGATGGGATGGGTAAGGAGATCTGCCAACAGTTTGGCAGATAGATTAGCAAAGCAAGGGGTTCAAAGAACATATATGTTTTGGGCACATTTGTAATTCTGTACTGGGTCAGCTTACTATGCTGATTTCTTTTGTAACTTATTGTTGTATCTTAAAGTATTTTAATCAATAAAAGTTTCAAAGTTATTGATAAAAAAAGACCTTTAATAAATTATATAATCCATAGACAACCCAAAATTTAAACGTATTGTATGCATTGGAGGACACAAAATTTTGCATAATCATATATGAATTATGAACCACTTCAAAGGTGTTAGCCTGGTATAACTATAACGTGTGTTTGTGATTATTTACGAGAATTCACATTTTCTGGAGACAAGGGATTCAATTTTTCCTTCATTTATGCACCCACTAGCAAGCCTTTACGTTTCCGGTAGAATCATGGACATTTAACATCCTGGTTGGGTTAATGAAATATAGAAATACATTGAGGACAATGGATCTTATATTCCGAGGTGAGGATGGTGGTAGTTTATGCCGTTGCTTATTGGCATGCACTTGAAAGGGATATGACATTTTTTGTTATTTATTATGTTCAGATACCTTTTCCAGGGTTTATGGGGGTTTCCAATGCTCAGAGGACAGGTTGGGCTTTAAAATAAAATGCATGCAATCAACATACCATCTTATTTGTTTAGCATCAGTAATCAAAAGTTCAATTTAGCAGATAAAAGCCCTAACGTCTTAAAGCGCTTGGAACTAAGGGAATAAAAACAATAATGCTAGGCTGGGATAATTTAAAAAAAAACCATTCTTGCAGGTTATCCCATGGACCTGGTCCTCCTCCCCCCTTGAAAAAAAGTAATTTTATTTTGATCATTTTATGCTGATTGCAAATAAGAGATAATAAATGAAGCTTCTAGTTCCTCATCATCCTTCCCCCAAATGTAAAAAAGAAAATGTTTTAATCCATTTAGGAGAGTAAAAAAGGCTATTCTAGAACTTAGTTTGTTACGTTTGTGAAGATAGTAGCATTCTCCATATGTTTCATTCTATGTTCTGTTAACTATCCTTTTAACTAGCAGCATCCCCTTGCATGATAGTGGTTTTATGGATTTTGCTAGCTCAACTGCTCTTAATCAGGATTTTTTCCTTTCAATTTCCCCGACTAGGCATATTGCTTATACAGACTAAACAAGTTGGATGAAGCTTTGGAGTCCTTGAAAAGCCAGGAGAGAACTCCTGCTGCCATGCAATTAGAATCACAGATTCTTTACCGCCTAGGGAGAATGGATGCTTGCATGGATATCTATGAAAAGCTTCAGAAGTTCAAGATTGAGTCATTAGAGATAAATATTGTTGCTGGTTTGGTTTCGGCTGGAAGGGCTTCTGAAGTTCAAAATGTGATGGATGCACTCAGAGTTAAAGCAACTAGCAGCTTTGAACTGGCATACAATACTGGTTGCTCTTTGATCGAAAAGAAGAAGTACACAGATGCAGAACAACAATTACTATCGGCTCGAAGGTAACGTAAAAATGGCACACAAGAACATTGAGTTGAACTAAAGAATATTTTGCAGCTTTATCTTCCCATGTGTTTTCAATTGCCTTTGCTTTGTCATAACTCATGCATGATCTTTTGGCCTTGCCAGTTGCAACGTAACCACTTTCCTTCCCTTTCATCACTTAAAACATGACTCTTTATTCCCTTCAATGAACTTGGGCCATCATTTTGATGTAGAGATTAGTTCAAGAGAAGTTTCTTTTTGTAGAATATTGAAGTGAAAGCTTTTATGCCCTCTGCATTATGAATGAATATTTGTAGCTTTCCGCCTTATCTGTGATGTTCCTATTGGTCTTGCCTTGCTTTCTCTGGGTAGGCCAATTATTTTCTACTTTTTTTTCATTGTTTTTTGATGAAGTTACAGTTACTCATGAAAAAGTTTATTTGAGTGGGAAGTACATGCTGAATAGGGTGTATGAATCTTTTGAAGCATCAAACTGCTCTCTAACTCTAAGTTTTATTCTTTGAAAACTTTAGAGTATATGAACTTTTCCTTCTCCTCTCCTTCACTCTTTTGGTTCATGCATTTGATCCATATTGGTTATGCAATTGGCTGTGTCTTAGTATATTATTTTTTGCCATGTTGTAGTGAAAATTTATCCATATTGTTGGTGTTAAAGAGGATGATAATTGAAATTAGTTTTGCATTCATCTTAGTTTTTTTATTTATTTTTATTTATTTTTATAGATGCTACTTGCTAGATTCCCTTGATGGTGCTGCTAAGAAGCTATTACATACTGATTCTTGTGTCCTCTCTCTCTCTTTCTCTCATACACACACATTGCAGGTTCATCCTGCATCAAAGGTCCTTGAAACTGGGTCCTTTACTCTGAGGTTCATTCTAACAATTCAAAAATTGAAGATCTTTCTCTGTTAAGTGAAAACAGTGTATCTTCTTTACATAGGAGGAAGCATATGTTTCAGTCTTACTGGGTGATTGCTAAGATATATTAAATGTCTTTTCTTTTGGATTCTTGTGTACTAGAAAGGTAAGGACCATTACCTAATGATGGTGTTGGTTGTCTGGGGTCTTGAGAGGGTAGATTGTATACAGACTTAACCTTTAGCATTTTTTGTACAAAGTGGCTGTTCTTGGACTCAAATCTGTTTTCTCATGCTTGTCACCCCAAGATTATACCATTGAACCGGGTAATGGCCCCAAGATTATACTAATTGGCAATGCAGTCAGCGTGGTCTTTACAGACAACAACTTTTGCATGGGGCGGCAAAGTGGTTTTATATATGGAAATATAAGCTCATGTTTGCCTTAAAATTGCATGATCCATTGTTTAATTTCTGTTGTAGATAACCATGCAAAGTGATAATAGAACTTAGAGACTATGGCTATGTTTGGATGATGGTGAAAACCGTGAAATGGAATAAAGAGAGCAAATTGTTCCACCATTATTAATTTTTAATTTTGAGAAATTTGGTAGAGGTAAAATTGAATTGCATTTCCGACAATCCAACATTCCAACGACAGCCTAAATTTTATATACTCTTTTTTTGATCAGCAGAAAATATATTTATTTTATTGGATTTAATTAAAGAAGTAGTTAGTACAACTTGATGACAGCAATGTTATCCCCAACTTTCAAACCCAAGTTACATAGAAGCCCAAAACAATTGCTGCCTCATAACCCCTTGTTTGGCAAGGGAATCAACTAACCCATTTTCATTTCTTATAACCACTTAAACCAGCCTCTATATCCTTAGCAGTCTTTTCCACTTCCCTTATCACATGTTTAAGAGTCCAAGGAGTGCATCTGTTGCAACTTTCCAATGAGATAACTACTTTTGAATCCCCTTCCACCTCAACCTGTCTAAAATCCAACTGCTTTGGTAACTGGAGACCTTGCAGCAGAGACAACAATTCAGCCTTCAAAGAGTTTCCCAAACCGATCAACCCTGAAAATAAGGCCAAAATCCTCCTCTCAGAATTTCTGATTACCCCTCCTACTCCTGCCATACTTGGGTTTCCAATGGAGATCCTATCAAAATTCAACTTGACCTTGTTGTTTTATGGGGGTTTCCAGTCCCACTCTTACTCTATCATTTTCTCTCGATAATTGTGCTATTTCGGTTCAGGCTCTTGGAATGTCAATGACTGAGAAGATTTGAAATCTATCCAATGTCTTTACCCATAATGCCACCTTTAGTTTTATGTTTATCACTTCCTCCAGAGTCATGCTTTTTTTTAGAGAAGATCCTATTATTCCTTTCTTTCCAAACCACCTAACAAATTGCTGCTTTAGTGGCTCTCTAGAGCACTTTCCTTCTTTTCTTTGATTGCCTCAAGAAGTTAGGATTGAACACGCCCACCACATCTTGAGGGGGTCCCACCTGTGCCCAAAAAGAAAACATAAAAACTCCCAAATTCGATGCACAAAGGGACAAGAAATTAATAAATGAGGTAGGGTCTCACCATTGTCCCTACATAAGAAACACAAGTGAGGAGAAATGCATGTATAAGGCCTTCTTCTCTGCAGCATATTACAAGTATTTACCTTATCAAGGAAAATTTCCTAGTAGAAAGCTTGAATTTTAGGTGGAATAGGCTTACTCCAAATTTCTTTCACTGGGAAGTCCACTCCTTGAGGATCAGGCAAGGCAAGGACTTTGAAAAAATAACAAGTGAAGAGACCATTTGGTGATATTGACCAAACTCTAGAGTCCTTGAGGGAAGGGTCTAGAAGTACTTATCCAAAAATGTCATGTAGGTGGACCAAGGAACAACCCTCTTTATCCCTTAAACGTCCTATGAAGCCCAAATTCCAATTTAAACTAGTTGGGAAGGTGTTACCAATCTAGACACAATTTCACCCTTAAAAGTGGAGAGAGCAAAGAGGTTTGGAAATTAGTCTTTGAGTAGAGTCTCTCCTAACCACAAATCTTCATAGAAATGTACTTTATCACCCCCTTCCCCATCAAACCTGATGGAATTAAGGAATATAAGGTAAACTTCAAGAATAACTTTCCAAGGAGAAGCTGAAGAAGAGTGGGGAGCAACTTTAGCATCTCAACCATTACCTTTTAACCCATGAATGCTTTCTACCACCTTATTTCATAGCCTGCCTCTCTTAAAGGGGAAGCTCCACAACCACTTGCCTAATAAAGCAATGTTTCTAGTGACAATATTTCCTAGCCCAAGCCCCTTTCTTTCCTTAGATTTGCTAACTTGTTTCCATTTTACCAAGTGATCCTTTTTCTTTCTCTCCCGATTCCCAAAGAAAGTCCCTCATATATTTCTCTAGTTGCCCTGCTATCCTAGTCAGGATGTGGAAAGTGGAGAGGAAATAAATGGGAAGATTTTCCAACGTGGCTCTAATCAATGTAATTCTTCCACCTAGAGAGATGTGATAGGCTAGTTTCTAACTTCACACCCCAATAACTTCTCTCTCTCTCTCTCTTTTTTTTTTTGAAAGAAGGTAAAGTATGATTGTATTAATAAAATTGTTAGAAACCTTCGAAGTTCCTCAATAACTCTGCAAACCTTAAGAAGTTCCCCTTCTTCCAAGTTGACCCTTGCAATTCCACTTTTACTCTAATTAATCCTAGAACCAGACAAGCCTACAAAGTTGTTAATCAATAACTTCAATTTTCTCAACCATTTCTGGTTTAACACTCTTACAAAATAGAATTGCATCATTAGCAATTTAGAGATGGGAAACTGCCACTTGATTTCTACCAATTCTCCAACCCTTAATCAAGCCTTGCAAATTTACTTTCATCACCATTCTACCTAGGGCCTTTGCCACTAAGGTGAAAAAGAAGGGGGATAGGGGGTCTCCTTGCTTAGCCAAGAAGAAATCTTTTGCCACACCATTGTGAGCTCCGAGAAGTTCATGGCCGGCTCAAAAGATTTGGAGTCGCCACCCATTTTTTAGAGGAAATGGGCCCTCATTTCAGGTTTGAAAATATCGAATTCAGGTCTTTGATAGTGACTCCATCCTCCATGGGAAAGGCATACAACCAAGAGATTCGGGTCCCAAGGATTGGGAGAGGGAAGGTGTTAGGCACCCCTCTCTCCAAGCTGTTGTTGCAGCCCAAAACGGGAGTTGTCCAGGCTCAATTTCTTTAAGAGAAAACAGAAATGGTTGCAAGAGTTTCTTAACTCTGGAGGAACATGCTTTCAACTCCTCTTAAGACCGGTTTTGAGGTGATGTTATTGGGTCTTAGGTACTGATTTCCCTAAGACCCTCACTTCTCTGCCTCTACTCTTAGTCAGGAAGAAATTGCAAGCAATGGTTCTCCAACATTTCAGAATCTCAAGCAACCCAGAAAAACTAGAAAAAGACTTACCTTCCGTATGTGCCTTGACGAGAGTTTTCCAACATCTCGAAATGAGGTAGAACGAAACTTGAATGGGTTCTTGAGCTAGGGAGTGCTTTTGATTGTGGAAACTTCTGCTTGAAAATGGATGAGGGTAATTTATAATCTGGGGTTTAGATTACTTCTGAGTTACAGATGAACAAGAGGCAGTATGGGTTGGAAGAAAGCTCCCTTCTCTCTCTCTCTCTCTCTCTTTCTCTTTCTCTCTAGGGGACTCCCTCAGGTTTTCTCTCTTCTGTCCCTTCCTTAGGTTGCCTCTCAGGTCTCGAGTTGGGCCTCTATTTATAGAGAAAATGGTATGAAATTCGCTCAGCTACAGTGTCTGTGGCTGAGCAGAGTTCTTTCACTGAAATAGGCAAGATTCTTTCAAAGAAATGGGTGCCTAGTCAAGCTTTCTTATTTGGTGAAACATTTTCTTCGATTTGGGGGTGGTTTTCCTAGGTTTTGCGCAACCAATGGGAGCTGAGGGCGTGCCAGACGCTGCAGTCTCGTATTTGGGGCTGTCAGTGGTAGAAAATATAAATTTGATGAACTTTTTAAAGTGGTTTTGTCTTTTCTTGGTTTTAAGTAGGGGTCTGTTTGGTATTTTGGGTTTTTTAAGCCTATTAGGCTCTGTTTCATTGGTCAA